TAAGGATGATCATTGTCATTTATTACATTTATTACATAAATAATAGTACAAAAAACAACTCACCTTAATTTGGCAATGAAACAAAAAGAACTAAATACAACGAATACAAAATAGATCAAACGGAGTGTTTAAATCAAAAAATTGTTTAACAATTTTCGGATCCGCAGATGTTAGAATATCTAAGTAATGCAAAGGGAGAGGCTTAAGAAAGAGACAAAGGGAATTTTTGATTTATACTCTATGAACCAATTAAGCCGGAACTCTAACTTGTTGAGGCACAGATGATATTTAAATACGTGATGCACAAGTTATATCAATCACCATACATTGTGTAATTTAAACGGGATTAAAGCTGGATTTTCGATAAGCTAAGGAGAACGTGGGTAAATCTTAACTTAGCTACCAGGTCGACCAGGTCGACTTAACCCGGCTTGTATATTAAAAAAATATACAACTGATTAATGAATAGTAATAAATAGAACTGAATGGGCTAAAAACGTTCTGCGTATTAGCTATGGCCCTTTTTAACCTTTTTTGTACCGATATTATAACAGTACGGCAGTACGTATTTAGATGTCATATATTTCATATTATATACGTATATATTTGAGACACGTATCATGTACGTACGTACGTACACATTATAAATTTTTTTATTAGTCTTAATTCTTATCTTTTATCGCATATGTATACCATATACGTAGTAACTATTTATGACAAACAAATATTGTGAACTCCGATGTACAGTTGCACTGATTATTTTACTACGGAATTCGGAGTTGTGAGTCATTGACAATATTTATAGAATTTTTTGTGCTGGAAACGTCATCTCTAATGATTGACGCTAATGGTGGACGAGCCGCATATGTTTAGCATCTTTGTTAGTGTGACGGCACTGAGATGCGTTGAATGAGGATTCTTGCATATTAAAAACTTTAAAATATAATTTAAATAAATGAAGAATGTGGGTAAAGTGACAAATTGTCAATATTAAAAGTAAAACGGGGTTTGTTATCAAGTTAATCGAACTTTATTCATTATACAGATAATTGTTATTAAGAGGATTTTTCGTTGTATTCTTTGGTGCAAAAAAGTTAAATTTCTGCTCAAAACTTATAATAGAAAATAAAGTTATCCCAAATTTGAGGTTAAAGTAAACGATGGCGCTTATCGGTAACGTGATTATGTTTGGGTGAAATCCGTGGTTTATTACGCAAAAGTTACGACACTCACATGATAAATTCAACCAATAACTATGCATACAAGCCCCCTAACTATTTAATACTAACACTAATTCTAGTGATCGTTATTGTTATGCACATAATCGCCCATAATTTTTTTTTTTTTATAGTTTACAGAAGCAAAGCGGATTTCACCCTCATATAATTTACATAGCGCATTTTACTACATAGCCTATTTTTACTCTGTCGTACGTATAATTATTGCATTTAAATTTGTATATAAAGATTTGTGTTAAATGTATTTTTGGATTTTTTAAAGATTTGATGTTTTAATGTTTTAAAATTTTTTTTATAAAAATTTGTTAATATAATTTAACACGGACCATAATACAGTAATACCTCGAATACGACACACTTCATGGGCAAAATCTAAGTACGTTATATCTTTTTTAATAGGAGGATACTATGGTCTGTGCCATATTGATATAGTATTAATATAAAATAATAAGATTTTAAAATTGAAGGCTAACATTTATGCCCCCATATTTGGTATTTAAATCTTTTAGCAAAAATAAAAATTTTTAAAACTTTGAGTGAAGATATCTTAACAAGCATCTAATCAAATTTGATAATTTTTTTTATTTGAATTTTATAAATTAATAAAATTCAAATAAAAAAATTTATCAAATTTGGTTAGATAATTGTTAAGATATTTTTGTTTAAAATTAAAGAGAAATCAAAAAATTTATCAAATTTGGTTAGATAATTGTTAAAATATTTTTGCTTAAAATTAAAGAAAAATCAAAAAATTTACCAAATTTGGTTAAATAATTGTTAAGATATTTTTGTTTAAAATTAAAAAAAAATCAAAAAATTTATTAAAATAAAAGTTGTATTATAATTATTTAATTAAATTTAATAATTATTTTTATTAAATTTTTAAAATTTAAAATTCAATCAACTCTTTCTAATGATTACTTATATCAAATTTATGGTTAATAAAATAAAAACTTGTTAAAAAAAAGTAGAAAGACAATTATAGAAGTAATAGTTTTTATAAAAGTCAAAATCTTTTGTCATTTGAATTTCTTTATATACTGTATTTAGCAAGTAAATTAAAAGTATTCTTGTATCTCTTAAACTGTCTAGTGAGCAAATTTGCTCGCTTAAATTTTTTTTGACCAATTATTGTACAATTTCTCCAAATTTTATTGCCAAATTAAGGTGAGTTGTTTTTTGTACTATTATTTATGTAATAAATGTAATAAATGACAATGATCATCCTTATTTAACGTCGGCTATTTCATAATCCGGATTTTCCTACCTCCTTTTCACTTTTTCACCTTAAAATTTAAAATATTACGAAAAAATAATCTTTTTGCCTGAAATATTTTGTATTGTATACTGAACTTCCGTGAAGTTTTTTATTATTTGTATTAAACAACAAATACTCACATTTGAATCGTCCTCTAATAACTATTATATTATTGTAAACGACCTTTACAAAAGGCTATAAGATTATTTTATGATGGCTAAGCTTGCCTTTTTAGTCCACGTTTTTTTCGTCGCTCTCTTGTTAGGTAGGTTAATAATCTATAATAAAATGTATTATTTTTATACCTTTACTATACTTAAAGGAATTCACGATTGATTTCTTTCCAGTTTTTTCACAAGCTGGACCAATAAAAGATGAATCACAAACTTCAGTCGGCATAGCAGAAATACAAACCACTCCTGATACGGAGCGCTTTGTAGTAGTTGTTCAACGTATTGATGATCTTGTAGATGATGGAGGTGAAATTCTTGCAGAGAAAATCTCTGCTGTTGTCATTAACTTTGACCTAAAGGATGAAGCTTTAATGGTGAACAATGTCCCAGTTCCATTGAACGTTACTTCTGTTCAGGTAAAATACTACCTTATTTATATTATTTATTTATATTATTTATTTATATTATTTATGGGGATGTATTCATAATCTTGCTTATTTCATTATTCATCACTATTTAACTTTTTGTTAATATAATTTTAGGTACTT